GACGAGCCAATAAGCCTCGAGAGCCTACAGTGACCAGACAATCACTTTCAAAAAAATGAAAAAAAAATGAAAATAGCGATCGTACTGAATTTCATTTTATTTTTATAACTCTATTTCTCTTCTCTTCTACTCTAAAATTAAGTAGTCGATCTCAAACTTAGATAAAGGATGAGGGTTATATATATATATATATATATATGTGTGTGTGTGTGTGTGTGTGTGTGTGTGTGTTATCGTTAGTCAATTTCCTCTCAAATCTCTTTCAGTCAAACAAATCACTTCCAAAAAATTATTCAAACAGATTAAAAGTGGCTTTTGACTTGTCAAATGGTTTGTGAGTGCTTATCCACTAATTTCATAGAGAAATATGGGAGGGTTGGAATATCGACTAAGCTGCAGCCGAAGTACCGTCTAATGCGCAAGTAATTCTCACTAAACGAAGCCAAAACATTGGAGGTCATCACATGCATAATCTGCATAACTATATAAGATAATTAAGTTATGGATGTACCTTCACTTATAAATTAATTGAGAGTTGTCTAATAAGTCATAAACAAGTTGTGTTTTCATAATGACACATTCTTGAGATCAAATTCTTGATGAGATAAATATTGTTCCTTATCCAAATTAAAATGGGAAGTATTCATCGTGTTGTATGTTTGTGTTTAGATTACATTTGGCGTCGCAATCGATTTACAATGTAGAAAGACAAAGTCCCGGAAGAGAGGGTGCATGTGCTTTGCAGAAATTGAAATTTAGTATTATAAAGATGGGAAGTCATTTTCATGTTCTCATGGAGATAAAGGTGTAAATGTTATGCACTAAATCCAAACAACTTTGAATATAAGTACTTTTAATATATAATTGATGCAATTTTATGACAAGTTTATTATTTAATTAATGTTCAATTAAATTAAATATTAGAGTTCGTAGATTCAAATCTTAATAATATGTTAATCATAAGAAGTTGTGATTGTGAGATACGAGTTACATATGATTGAATCTTAAATTATTCATGGTCGTAAATAGTAACGAGATACGGATATCGTTATTACGGATAGATCATCATATGTGACATCTTTTACTTGTGAAGTAAGTAACTTATCTTACAAGTTAAAGTGTTGTGACATTTTAATGAACACGTTGATGTTTTGTTATAGAACAAAACATTAGAGACCCATTAGGAAAATTTCATATGGATAATTATCTGAGTGTCGGTGGTTAATTTCTAACGTTCATAGTGAAATTGGTCTTTCGACTTAAGGTCATCATAGTGTCTTGTTTGAGAACAATCATACTTTAGTGATATTGGATGTTGCTTTGTCAAGGGCGGCTACTATAAAATCGTTCGGATATGTCAAGAATTATATGAAGGTTGTGAATGATCAACGGAGGATTCGTCACTCTTAGATAGTAAGAGATTATAATCTACATTTCATTTAGTTAAATTGATAATGAAATTATTGGTCAATGTGTACTCATAAATTGAAAATGAGTTTTCGATTTATATTGACTTAATAGTGGGATGAAAAATACAATCGATAATTGAGATTGACACATATCCATATCTCGTAATCGATCTGACCATAATTAATGAAAGAATTATAATTTCACAGTAAACGAACAGTTTAGTTTTGTTATACCACGTAACATTTCTCATTACATGTATTGTCTTGACACATTATTATATGTCAATATGGGACGACATAGATGAATTACTAATAAATTAAAGGGGGTGTTTTAATTTATCGATTTTGATTAGATCAAAATAATAATTTACGACGTTAGACATTGTGATTGGAACCTAATGGGTCACACACTAAATGAGAATTAAAAGAATGAGGTTCACCAATTAATTAATTAGCAAGTGTTGAATAATTAATTAACTGGATTGCTTATTAATAGGCACGATTAATTAATTCATGGACCAAATTTAATTAATTTGATTAAGAATTAATTTTAAGGGACGGGTCAAGCCTGTTTGGATTTATATTAATAGGTTGTTAAGGTTTGAAAAACTGTAAAGAATATAATTCATATTCTTGCTAGCTCAAGAAAAGAAAAATTATATTTCTCTCAATCTTATTCTCTGTATGGATTTTTATTGGAGATTTGACAATTGAACAGCTGTAATTGTAGATTGTGATTGTTTAAGTTCAAGAAAAGCAAAGGATTTGTAGAATTCAACAAATGTAAAATTTTTGTCACACTTTCTATGTAAACATAAAGCAGATCCTTGATGGAAATTGAAATTTTGCTTAAATTTCGCTGTGCATCATTACGTAAATTTTCAACAAGAGGTTCATTTTCATGTCTCTTAACTACCAATCGTTATCATATTAATTATAATCAATCGTGTTAATTGTTTTCTTCCAAATCTCTATTATTTTATTTCTCACTTGCCAAGTACTAATTCATCAAATTTGCCGCTCTATGACTCCCCTGCATGCTTAACTCTTGACAACAGTTCGAGAAAAATAATGATTGATAGGCCGATTACAGGGTCGAACAATCTGCCCAAGCAAGTTGGTCTTTAAGTTGACCGCTCAAATTATACATCTTTGAGTGATTTTTGTTAAAAGATGTCAACATAAAATACAATGTCGCAAAGTGAAAATGATAAATCACACAACGGTTAAAAATATTAATTAATATATAAGGATTTTTTTAATTTAACAATGATGAGCTTTTAAGAAAGAACCTAAAGGCCAATATAGGATTTGAGTCCATTATATTCAAACAAGTCATTAATCTCTTTAGAAGCTCATACTAGCCATCGAATTCCAAAATTTATTCAAATGAGGGAGCATTTTATAAGCAAATATTAAGCGTATTTCATATAAATATTATCTTGAACAATTCGTTGGAAGAATGATAAGATCTATTTGACCAATGCAATCGTTGGCCTTCAAATTTGGTGGGACCTTGTTGTCAACATATTTCAACCTCTCTCGTTCACATTTATGTTGTCTGTACACTTAGACATCACGTTAGAACGTACAAGTTGTAGTTTCGACGAGGTGCAATGGTTGTATGCACTTCGACGATTAAGTCAAATGATTTGAAAAATATGTATTGTATGGGAGAGTCATAATGGATATAAATATTGGTGTTGAGTTTATTTAAATACTTTAAGCATAAGATTCAAATTAAGTTTATTTTTTATGCCACCGAGCGTGAGTGTTTATAGTCAAAAGAGATTAGCCAAGGCTCACTAGTTGCTTGACACGTGACTTCATCTTAACGGATCACTAGTCAAGCTCAACTGTGTTAATCCATAGATGTGGTGACAATACCTTAGGTATAGGTTGAAAAATTTGTGATTTTAAAGTGGCATCGTTGTAGAGCTGTCACTAAATTGTCACATAATTGTTTTGTACAGCGTGTTGTGCAACTTGATCGAGGGAGTCTACTAGCAGATGTCAATCACCTCTAATATTTATTGCAATAGGGAGGTGATGCATTGTTTCAGTTAACAATTGTCACATGCGAGACAATCAAAGATTCGATCTAACTGCCTTGGAAAAGGCCTACAAAAGTGGGATATTGAGTGATCTGCTTATCTTCATGTGATTTTTTTGCTTAGTTGGCTGCTACCATGTTGCATGTCACGAAACAAATGCCTAACAACGGTAATAAAAACTATTTATTTGTATGAAAAAAAAAAAATCATTAGTGTTACGCCCCTAAATAAGCCAGCCACTCCCACTTTGACACTAAAACCACTTCGTCGAAAAAGTCACATCACTCTCCGAAACCCCACGCGTCTACCTGAGGTGGTTCCGAAGAGATGCCAATCACTTCGACACAAAGTCACGTTACTCTCCGAAACTCCATGCGTTCACCAGAAGTGGTTCCGGAGCGATGCCAATTCCTGATGACCTCAACATAACGCGCTGCAAGGTGAATAGATCCAATAAAGCAACCGAAATATCCCTCAACACTGAAGCATTGAAGGGCCCGAGGCACTCCCTTAACAGATCGCTCCGCAGCCACTGTCAGAAAGATATCTGTCAGGATCTTGACATGACGTCTCCATAGATCTAGTTGATATGATACATCAACTTTATGTCAATTCAACTCAGAAGAACTAATCGTCCGCCCACGCTAGACGCGGCTAAGTGAAGCCTATGAGCAGACGCCTTACACCGTTAGATATATACATGTGTCACATATCCAACGGTGCTTTACACTTATAAATATCCAAGGTTCGGCAAGAGACAAAGGTAATGAAAGTTCTTATAACTTAGCTTTCCATACTAAGAAACATATATTCTCCTCCCATTCTCTTGCACCACTAGAGCACCGTTTAGACCGCCCAATGCTAACTTGACCGTCGAAATGTATGCGGTCGCCACCACCACCGCTGGTTCCGACCGTGTGCTTCTGACCGTGCGTTGTTGTGCGCAAAGAGGATTACGTGGAGTAGCTATCCGTTAGTCACGTGGATGGTTTAATATCGAGGTCAACAATTAGTGTAAGAAGAGATGCACGGAAGTGGTCATCGTTCGTTAAAGATGACTAATATATAATTACTATTCAAATTCTCTCTTTTTCTGTAATTACATGAGATTGGACAGATTATGAGACTGCTAAAGCTTTCCCTGCCCAGATGTTTGAAGCTATTAGAATAGGCATGGTAAAAGCAAAGCCAAGGAAACTACAGCTGATATAATTATAAAATAAATATTTCACCCTTGCATTGCATTGAATTAAAAAGGGAAAAAAAATCCATTTAAATAATGTACCCATTAATTTGGTTAAACAATAGCCAAAACGAGCTTTTTTCTTTAACAAAAGGTTTATCTATAGACTATAGTAGTCGCAACGTGATAACACCAACTCGCGAGACTTAAAATCGAGAAATAAAAAAAAAACATTGAAATTATTTGATAATCTGTCATGTTCATTATGATCATCAATATTTTAAAAACAGATCTCGTTCAAATATCTTTTTATGTTTATTATAAAGTTATAAAAAGTTACACTACTCACAAGTCATTTTAGCAAAGAGTTGAACTGAAACTTGTATTCCTTCACATAATCACATTTTTGTACATAAATAACATAAGAAAACTCTAGTAACGACTTGGTGAAAGACATATAAAATTACTGCACAACACTCTTTTTATCACGCTCTAACAAACTGAGGACCTCCTGGGTCGGACCCTGATCGACAGCGGGTTAACCATTTCACAAGAAAGCTTGAGGACCTCAGACAAATCCACTCTCCTTTCATTGCAAGGCCTAAACTCAAATTCATGCAAAAGAAAGGCAACCCAAAATGTAACAGTGGTTAGGCCCAAGGTCTTACCGGGGCAGGCCCTCCGACCCGATCCAAACGGTGCAAGCCTCAAATCAGACCCAAAACCACACACATCCACGTGCTCACCCTCATTCATAGTCATAAACCTCTCAGGCTTAAATTCCAGTGGGTCCACCCAAACATCTGGGTCCCTCATGATGGCCCACATGTTTACCATCGCAGTGGTTCCCTTTGGCACGTGATAGCCATCGACGGTCGAGTCCGTTATAGCCAAACGTGACCAGGATAGGAGTGGGCCCGGAGGGTGTAATCTCAGTACTTCCTTCACTACCGCATGTAAATACACCATTTCCGTTAAATCAGACTCTGCCAGCGCACGTGACTTTCCCACAACCTTGTCCAACTCAATATGGACCCTTGATTGAACATCGGGGTGCATCACCATTCTGGCTAGTATCCATTCTATCAACACTGCCACAGTATCCGTGCCTCTAAATATCATTTCCTGAAATTTTTGTGTTTAATTAGAAATATTCTCGTAAGCCAAAAGGGACGTGCTTAAAATATTAAAATTTGAAATAATATGAAAAGGACTTACTGATGCTGGATATTAAAGAATATATAATTTAATTTGTTTAGCTTAGCTTACCCAGAGTACGGCGATCATATCGGAGTTGGATAATTTATCAGTCCCAGTAAGAGAGAGCAAAACATCGACAAAATCACGGTGGAGTTTGGTGGTTTCGGCCT